TGCTAGGTGTTTAATCAGACAGCCCTTCAGGCAAAGAGTGCTCGAGAGCTGATCAACGCTGTGTCCAAGTTCATGGACTGCAGCATCGTGATCCCACCCACCGAGATCAAGAGTGAGGCGATGCTCAGCTCAGTCATCAACTTTCAGAAGAAACTGCTACAGGACAAACTGCAAAGCTATGACCTCGTCAACAACGCCAAAGTTTGCAGTGGTGAGTCATACGCATTTACCATGTTGGCTGACATTTTAACTAATAAGATAAACAGATTATTTGTTTGCCAGCTTTTAGTTTCTTATTTGGATAACTATTTGGGATCTGATAGTGGCTTAAGCTCAGATTTCACATTTTCCCCAGATTCAATCGTTTCCAGACCTCCTATTGAAGATCCCCTTTCTCGTACTGGTCGACCGTTTGGGGGGATGATTCGAGACATAAAAAGGCGCTACCAGTACTACAAGAGTGACATCACCGATGCTCTAAACGCACAGGTCCTTGCTGCCATCATTTTCATCTACTTTGCTGCCCTGTCTCCTGCCATCACATTTGGAGGCCTCCTGGGTGTGTATGACTGTGGTACCATTTTTTTTTCTTCTGTTTTTTGTATTTTTGGAGATCCTATAAATTGTTTTTTTATCTTTGCCTGTAGCTTATAAGGTGGACAACATGATGGGTGTGCCAGAGCTCCTCATTTCCACCAGCATTCAGGGAATTATATTCTGCTTTGTTGCCGCGCAGCCCGTCCTGGTTATTGGGTTTTCTGGTCCACTGTTGGTATTTGAGGAGGCCTTCTATGCAGTGAGTTAAAAAGCCTTTTTATTAACCCTAACAAACATTACAACTCCATTATTGTCTTTTTTTAATTCAATTAATATTTTTTCATTCATTAATACTACATTCAAATCATCATTCATTTCCATCATTCAGTTCTGCAAGTCCCAGGGCATTGAGTATATTGTTGGGAGAGTTTGGGTGGGAGCGTGGCTGGTCGTCATTGTGGTGATCATTGTGGCCCTTGAGGGCAGCTTCCTGGTTCGCTTCATTTCACGATTCACCCAGGAAATCTTCTCCATCCTCATCTCCCTCATTTTCATCTATGAAACTTTTGCCAAACTTGGGAGGGTAAACAATCTTTATTCATTACACACACACACACACACACACCAATCAGCCACAATTTTAAAACTTCAAGCCAAATATTGCGCAAGTTACTCTCATTCCACAAAAATAGCTCTGACTTACCGGGGCAAAGAAACAAGACCTCTGGGGACCCTGTGGTGTCTGGCACTGGGTGTTTGGCATCAGGTCCTTTTGGTCTTATTGGTTGTAGGCCTAGAGTATTGGATTTAACACATGACTTTTTACATCATTGGTGCAGTGCTGTTCAACTGATCTTTCAGTGGTTTTATTTATTGTGGCTAAAAAGTGTGTGTCACATGTTGTAATAAAATCTGAAACATTTCTCATCTGCGATTTATTTGTTGAACATAAGCCGTCATTTTCACCTATGCTCTTGAACTTTTCTTTAGATCTTCAAGGCGCATCCACTAATTCTAAATTACGAACACGTGAATGCAAGTGCCGAGTATCCCTGGCACCCAAAGGTCGAAGAGATTGTCACGTATGACAATTCTACCGGCAACAAAACTCTAATTGTCAACACCATCAAGCCATCTTACCCCAACACAGCCCTGCTCTCTATGTGCCTCATGATGGGCTGTTTCTTTATTGCTTACTTCCTGCGTCAGTTCAAGAACGGGACATTCCTTCCTGGAAAGGTGAGCTCATGCCCAGAAGGTTTCACTCCATTTATGAGGTCACCTTTACTTTAAAATAATAGGATTAAAAGAAACCAAATGAAATGAAATGAAATTCAAATAGTAGACTTGATGTCGGTGATGTGTGTTTAACAGATCAGGCGTTTGATCGGTGACTTTGGTGTTCCTATTGCCATTGTCCTCATGACGCTTGTGGACTACAACGTTCAGGATACGTACACTCAGGTTAGCGTGTGACTCCAAACTACAAAGGCACACTCATAAACATGAAGCAATAATTTAAAGTAAAATGCATCGAAATATATGAAAATCAAAGGTTTATTTGTTCAAATGATTCATCTTTACGGAAAAGAAGCTTCGTATAAACTCAATGTTTACCAATTAACTAAATTTAATTTGACCAGATTCCATTAAATTAAATGTTTACATTGTAACAAAATTACATGGAAAATTTAAAGTGGATTTAGGAAGCAGCTCGAACCATTAACTTTTTTATACATGTTGCAGTGTAACATATTTGAAAATGTTGTTGTTTTTTTTCTTTATAGAAACTAATCGTTCCCAGAGGTCTGACGGTGTCCAATCCTGAAAAAAGAGGCTGGCTCATCAATCCTTTCGGCGAGCACAAACCTTTCCCTGTGTGGCTGATGTTTGCTTCCTGCATCCCAGCCGTGCTTGTGTTTATTCTCATCTTTCTGGAGTCTCAGATCACAACGTGAGTCATCGTTGGTCTTATTAGCTGACACGAACCATAGAAAAAGTGACAATTCATGACTTTAATGAGCGTCTCCCTTCTTTATGGCTCTAAACAGTCTGATAGTGAGTAAACCTGAGAGGAAGATGGTCAAAGGCTCCGGGTTTCACTTTGACTTGCTGGTTTTAGTTGGCATGGGAGGCCTCAGCGCGATATTCGGTGTGCCGTGGCTCAGCGCTGCCACAGTGCGGTCTGTCACACATGCCAACGCTCTCACTGTCATGAGCAAAGGACCAAAACCGGTGATAGAGAAAGTGATGGAGCAGAGAATAAGCGGCATTGTGGTGGCCTTGCTTGTTGGTAGGTGCTGTCTAATCACCCAGTTCTGTCTACAAAAGCATTGCTAGACTTATACTTTGCATTCAAACTGATGTGTGTGTACGATCCTTTATCATTTATCTGAATGTATGCTTGTATCAAGGTCTGTCAGTTCTCATGGAGCCCATCCTAAAGATGATTCCCATGGCAGCCTTGTTTGGGATCTTCCTCTACATGGGAATCACGTCGTTAAATGGCATTCAGCTGTGGGATCGTGTGCAGCTTCTTCTCATTCCAAAGAAATACCATCCTAATGAACCCTATGCTACCAGAGTAAGCTTCTCATCACTGCATGATACATGAGGTCCATGGCGCTAGCATAAGCGGGGCAAACAGAAGGTTTCTCATGGGGAAAATAATGAAGTTGTGGTTTTGCAAGACTAAACACAATGAGATGTTACTGTGTTACCTATTATATTTATTAATTTTTACCCAGCTTGAGACTGTAGTGATAAAATCATGTTCTGTGTAAAACTGCTGGGAGGTATTTGCCAGATGCACATTTATATACCTAAGGCTATTTCTATGATTTAAATTTTATTATGCTTTTAATTTGTCCTTGAACTAGGCATGTGTTGGCAGGTTTCCAAAGCTACTTAAAATCGTCAGTTACTTGTGTTTGGCTGACGTCTGTCTGTCTTGGTTACAGGTGAGCACAGGACGAATGCACCTGTACACGGCCATCCAGGTTGTGTGTCTAGGAGTTTTGTGGCTTGTGAAGTCCAGTCAGATGTCTCTGGCGCTTCCCTTCGTTCTCATCCTCACCATTCCTCTGCGCATGCTTATGACCGGGCATCTCTTCACCGAACTGGAAATGAAATGCGTAAGCTGAACGCTGTGGAAAGTTCAGACCTTTTTAGATGGTATGTGTGTTGCAGTGTGTTTAAAATGGTTCTTTCTGTGCTTGTGTTTCAGTTGGATGCTGATGATGCCAAAGTGACATTTGAGGAGGAGCCTGGGAAGGACGTGTACTGTGAATCTCAGATGCCATTGTAGATGTTTTTCATGACAGACTTTTTTAATGAATGGATATTTATTTTATAAGTGGCTTAATTTTTTTTCTCTTAGCGCAAAAATACTTAAAATGTTGGGGGTTTTCCACATACCTGTAAAACTGTTAAAGCCAACTGCTAAACTGTAAATTTAGCTGTTGTAAACTGCCACTCAGGTAAATCATTTGCATAACTGAACCTGGAAATATTCTCATTTACATGTTTTTACAAAAAAAGAGAAAAAAAGGATGTGCAAGATGTCAGAGAAGCAATTCTACATGTGCCTTTTGTCCAGAAGCAGAGAGCTTGAAAGCTGAGTGTAAAATTGTAGGTATAAAAGCTATAAAAGTTTGTTTTTTTTCCCAAACAACTGCACACTGAATGTAAAAAATGGACGCTTAAGTTATTATCTAAGAGCTAAAATCTGTATGAATATTGTGTAATATATGATGATAAATGATGTGTATACACTGTTGCTGGAATGATAGAAGAGCTTATGCTGGAAAGAAAAAAGGAGTGTGTGGCAATACGAGGAGAGATATAATATTGTGTATAAAGTAATTATATTGTGTGTTCGGCTTTCTTCTTTTCATATCTCTGTAATTAAAAAACTATCTTCTGTAAAAAAAACCTCTCCGCTTTCATTTTTACTAAGTGTTATTAACTTTTGCTGGAGACAGTTCTCTTTAGATTCTCTGAATTCCGGATAAACACTTTGTCCGAGACACCAGAAAAGGAGGCGTCGCCAATTCTCCAAGTACTGCTGTGTATTAATATTTATTTATATTAGTGTTAGCGGCTCAAGTTTGGGACGTTTGTGTTTTAGCTGTAGCGGAAGGAGATACAACCCCAATTCAAGAAAATCTGAAAATTGTGTAAAATGTAACTGGAAAAACAGAATGCAGTGATTTGCAAATCTTATTAGTGGTACTAAGAAGAAACAGCTGAAAGAACATTTTGTAGTTTATTTGATTTATAAGCTACAAAATGGTTTAGGGTAACTCATTTTTTGTGATCGTATAAAATGACAAAAAAAAAAAAAAGAGTTCCCATTAATCTACCGTCTGATCAACAATCCACCAGATAAAGGCAGTGTTGCGCCAATTTGTGCAATTATTCGTGAAGACGACGAAGAAGAAGGGCGGGGAAACCCGTAGAAGAAGAAGAATGTCACTTTTCATTGGCTAGTTGGCACGCGTTTACTTCCTGCCCAACAGAGCAGCGTGTGTTTTACGCCTTGTTTCGTACTGTTGGGTGAGCAGCAGCAGTAAAGTAAAAACTTTTTAACTTAAGCTAGATCAGTCTGATAGCTTAGCGAACTAGCTAACTTTGCCACGCAGAATAACGTGGTTTAGTTTAAATGTCTGGGTAGTTTGTGTGCAGCCGGTACATCCAAGGACTTGTGTGAATGAAACAAGCTCTGTTTGAAACATGAGCCTCGCTGGAAAGAATGCAGAAGAGTCTGGTGGGTATATGCAGTTTTCTTCCCAGCATGAGAGTGCCTTTGCAAGCTCACATCTCGTTAATGGCCGTTGGATCCTTTGTCGTGGTTGACTGTGCTTTCTGTACGTGTGCAGGATGGTGCAAGAAAAACCTCCAGAAACTTCTCGCTGCAATGAAAGCCAACATCCTGGATGACAAGAAAGAGCTCAGTTATACCCATGGAGAGAGAACTCTAGACTGGGAGAAAGTGGCCTTCCCTCCTTTTTCTCCGGAGGAATGCAAACAAAAGTGGAAAGAGGTTATTCAGAAGGTGGGTCAAATTCTAACTTTAACTTAGTAACTTAGCTTGCATTTACTAGTTCAGTATCCCTAACTATTCTTTAGCAGATGTTCAAATCTTCAGTTTCACTTCAGCATTGCCTGTTTCACTGCTAAGAGCCAGACTTGAGCAAATATATGATTTACACTGTACATATCCTTGTTGTTTCTCAGATGCGGAAGGTTCGCAACCTCACAGAGCTCATTGTGGAAGCTGAAAGTGTCCTTTCTGATCCCCTCAATAACGCAAAGGTAGGTACTAGAGATGGCACGATACCACTTTAAGTCCGATACCGATATCATAAATTTGGATATCTGCCGATACCGATATGAATCCGATATAGTGTGTTTTTTAATCAATAAAACTGTTTTTGTTTTAATATCGTGCTGCATTTTGTATAAGTTCATACTCAAGTTTAAATAAACAACAACAGTAATGCTATTCTGTTATACCTGTATGTAAAAAATACACTGCACCCAAAATATTTCATAGTTCAGCAATACTGATCAATCTAATGACCTTAAACCTACTCCATCCTTCCTATTCTGGTATTTTAAAGAGTACTTAGTAGAAATATTAAGCAACTTAACTAATAGGGTTGCAAACTCCCAGCGAAAAAAAATAGGGAACCACCCTCCACCTCATGATGCTTAAAACACTTAAACTCCCAGAGAGCAGCCATTTGGCTTTTCTACCTATAAAACCTGGAGAGCAGCCAAATGGCTGGTAGGCTTTTAGCTAAGCTTTAGCTTCAGCCAAGTGGAAGCTAAATTGGCTAGTCATTCATATGTATATTAGGTTGTTACCTGGGAATTCTGGAGGGAGGGGAGTGGGGGTGTGTGATTGAGGGGGTGGGGGAGCTGCTAAAAGCTGTGCACTTCCTTTTATGTTTCATCTTGATGCATTCTCAATCATCCAGGGAAATAAATCTCCAAAAGTCACCAACTTGGAGTGTTTCAGTTTGCCATCTTAGGGAGAAATCAACACACCGTCTAAGAAGTTTTTGCGCAAGTGAAAGCGATGTGAAAAAAATTGTCCATGGTAACATTTCTGCCCTTGTCTAGGAATGGTTCCATCAGCCTCATTACTACATTTTCAGAAAGTCTCTCCCCAGTGGGACGATTGGGGTCCTTGCCAAGATATGGGAAGACATTGCAAATGTACTTGGATTTTAGGTCGCAAGCCACCCAAAACTTGATCCCAAACTTGTCAGGTTTACTTGCAATATACTGCAGGAAACAGCACCGAGTCTTTGATGGGAAAAGCTGTTCATCAACGGTGATATGTAGACCAGGGTTGTAGCACGTGATGCAGTTGGTGACAAATGATCCCCACACACTGGAAATTGCAGCGAACATGATCGACATGGCAGCACTGAATGCACATGTGCTGTATCAAGCATGCACCGGGACGAAGGAAAGACGGGTGGACTTCCTGGTGGAGCTTGCAAGAGAGTTGGCTCACTCTCATGTAGCTGCGAAGAAGGCAAGAAAAGAACAGTTGCTTTGGACACAACCCTCCACACCTAGCCCTGGAAAAAGAGCCATGTGTCAGGTCAAACACAAATGCAAGAACAATCATGCCACTGTGCGATGTGTTCACTGCTACAGATACACATGTGGTAAATGCAGACTACAGATACCATGGCAGTGCCAGGATTGTGAGTGATTGCTGAAAATGTTGAAATGTACTCACTCACTTTTTATTATTATTTGTAAATATGTGTACAAATGGTTGGTTTTTTTGTACTGTTTTTATCAATAAATCTCAGCAACAAAGGACATACACCCATGTGTGTTGATTCTCCCTAAGATGGCAAACTGAAACACTCCAAGTTGGTGACTTTTGGAGATTTATTTCCCTGGATGATTGAGAATGCATCAAGATGAAACACAAAAGGAAGTTCACAGCTTTTAGCAGCTCCCCCACCCCCTCAATCACACACCCCCACTCCCCTCCCTCCAGAATTCCCAGGTAACAACCTAATATACATATGAATGACTAGCCAATTTAGCTTTCGACGTAATCAACTTTAATTTGATGCAGTGTGGGGAAAAAATGCTCAGAAATAAATTATTTTTCAAGAATAATTAAATAGATTCAACATCTTTCTTCAACAGAATTGCACACTGCACAGATGGTATCTTCCCAAAGGAAAAAGTACTATAGCTTACTAGGGTATATTAGACTTAATAGTTACTATATACAGTAATGGACTGATATACATTTTACATCAGATTAAAACTCTGGGTGTAAGCTTCGGATAATTATTTATTAAAAGCTAGACATTTTAAATGAGAATAAGAAAGAAAAGTATGTCTTTGTGCCCCCTTTTCCCTGTTCATGCCCTATCGGCCCCCCTGGCTAAACTTTGTTAGATCCGCCCCTGCACAGCTACCAGCTGTCAGCTACATAGAAAAAGATCCTGGTGTAGAAAGTAATATTAAATAAATTCTAACAACAGCTTATCAAACTTAAACGTGCTGCTGTTGTTCAGCCGCTGGTTTCCTCTTTCTGGTGCAAAGTGGGCCAAAAACAAACAAGAGAGACGGACTCGAGACAGAAATGCCGATCAGCTGATCATTAATCAGTTTCACGATTAATAGCAGCAGGACAGGGAGGGAGAGAAAAGAGGAAGTCGCTCCATATATCGGTTGTTAAGCTTAACGTGGGAATGCTTTACAAACATTTAGAGATGAACTTACACACTTGCTTTACTTCTCTCTGGGATCACTTCCTCGGAGATGAAATGCTGGTACACACAGCCGCTCTATCACGTGAGCACACTGCTCCGACGTGCTACGGTTATGAGCCGAGTTACGCTGTGTCGCAAGTTTTGTGAGGTGCTTTTTTGATATTTAATGGATCGGATTACATTTTTTATTTCTCTCCGATATCCGATCCAGTAATTTACGTCAGTATCGGACCGATACGTAATATCGGATCGGTCCATCTCTAGTAGGTACAGAATCATAACAATTTCTATACCTCCAGTTTGTGAATAAAAATGGCCTGTGGAAAGCTGTCTTTTAAATGTCATGTGAATCGCTTTATTTACAAAAAAAAAAAAATTTTTTTATCAAAAGCGCCTCCTCAGTCTTACGCAGGACCAAAATCCAAAAGTAATGGGCTGCTTTAAAGCTCTCAGTGAATTCCAGTGTGGTTCTGTGATAGGATGCCACCCATGCAACAAGTGCAGTTGTGAAATTTTGTCGCTATTATTTTTTTATTTTTTTTTTTTTTGCAGAGTCACTCTCTAGACATCTCCAAACTTCTTATTCAGATTAGATCAAAAAAAGAGGGTAGAGAGCTTTGAAGAGTGCATTTCCATGGCTTAGCAGCTGCATCCAAGCCTCACACCACCAAGTGCAATCATTTTTCTCTGTGTGACAATCTGATGGATGAGTCTGGGTTAGGCGTTCAGTGTGGGGTTGTTCTCTGGCCCTTAATCTCAGTGACAGAAAAGTTTAGTGCTTTAGCATACCAAAGCAATTTGCACAATTTCATGGTCCCAGCTTTTTAAGAACAGTTTGGGGACGTCCCCTTCCTGTTCCAAAAAGACTGTTTCAGCCAAATAGACCGTTTGTACCATTTAATTTTTTACCTAGTAAAAGATTATGCTTGAAATGTTTACACAGCAAGCCATGTATGTGTACTGCAGAACAACAGCTGACTGTTATAGCATTGGAACATGCCATGGCTCTGGGCAGTATCTCCTTGGCCACATGGATTACACACTGCTGGTCAGGTGCATAGCGTTAAATGTGTATTCCTTTGTTGCTTGTACTTGCCCTCTACTGAGTATTCACATTTCCGAAAAATTAGCTCCATCCAGAGTACCCGAAGAGACCCATGCCCGTAAATACCTGGTATTACAAGGAAGTCTTTTCCAAGATTAAGAAGAAGAATCCAGGGATGAGCTGTGCAGGTTTGATGAAAATCGCAAGCAAAGAATTCAGTCTGCTCCCCGACAAAAAGAAGGTAAAGTATATCAGGAGCTGTCACTACAACACTGCCTGTTCCCATCGTCAGAAAAGCTCACATTTTAAGTCATGAATTATTTACTTTTTCAGGCATTTTATCTGGAGAAATACAGGAATGCATATAAAGAATTCACGAATAAGAGGGTGGAGTTGAGGTAAAAGACAAACATACGTTCCCAGCTGTGTATGTGTGGGATTGGCCCAGTAGGCTGCCTGTACAAGAAGAAGGGGGGGGAAAGCCAAACAAATGTTTTTGTCTTTCAGGGAAAAATATGGCAAATCCCTTCAGAAGAGCAAAAGGAAGAAGGTGGTCCCTGAAAGCACCAGTGAGTCAGAGGAGGACTTTGAGGGTCTGCCTGTCAAGCCACCTATGTAAGCCATACATACACACACTTGGCTTGGCAACTGTCATGTTCATTTTATTTATAGCCTATGGCACATTTAATCAGTTCTCTCCATTACATAAGCTGTCTTTTATAGGTTAAGTTTTGATATGTGTATTTGTTTCTGCAACACAGGCCCTTTATTTACTTGGTATTGATACCAGAAATTGGTGTATTGCATAGCTCTGGTTTTCTATTCAAATTTTATGTTTGTGTTCAGTGCGTATGTTTAGCGTATTAAGAATAAAGATTATACATGGGCACAGTAATGGTGCATTAGTTTAAGACAATATTTTGTTGTTGGTGTTCTAAGTGTTGAGTTTCTTGAACAAACATGCTGGAAAACTGCATTTCTGACTGCCTGTGTGATTGTGCGGCCTGTGTTTAATGCTAACTTTGATTTAATGTAGTTTAAAATCACATCTAGTCTTCTGTGAAGAGGCTACTGAGCATGTTTGTTTGTTTTCTGTGTGTATATCTGTAGAAGTGGCTACAATTTATTCTGCAAAGAGCTGATTGGTAGTATGAGTGTCCCAACAAGAGCCTACATAAAAGAGTGGTCCCAGAGGTGGCGAAATTTAAGTGAAAAGGAGAGAAAAGCCTACAACACACGCTCCAAAGAGGTATAGCAGCATAAATTACTTTTTTTATTTTGTGATGCAAAACAAAGTTTTGAAATCAAGGTGATCTTGTTGGGTTATGTTAATAATGTCTTGAAGCAGAGTTGAACATGTAGTTCATTCATTTCAGCTGAAGATGCGGTATGAAAGTGAGATGCATACGTATCTAATGGTAAGTTCTAAGATCATAGGATTTGCTAACAAATCTCACGGGCTTTGTGTGAATGCTGACTTTATGTTGTATTCTCATCTTCAGAGTTTAGATGAGGAGAAGCGGAACAAGGTCCTCCGCAAAACAAAGATCAGTTTTCCTACAAAGCGTAAGGTGAGAGGACTGTTCATTGCAAGTAAATGGAAAATTAGTTTAATCTGGAAGGGTGTTTGGACCTCATGCTTTGCTCTTTATTATAAATAATAACAAATGTACAGACATGTGCAAAAGTGTTGGTTCCTTTCCACTGGGAAGAAAAAGCAAAAGACCAAAGGGGCAGGAGAGCTAGCTGAGTATGGCTTGGTCCTGTGTTCAGCACTGATGCAAGAATATTCATGGTTCAAATCCACTACCAGAGTGAAGGAATGACACATTGTCCTGTTAAGGTGCCAACACTTTGCCACTTTCATTTAACAGAACAAACATTTTTCTTTGATACTTTTGGGGAATTTGGAATTTGTCACCTTTTCAGCTATCTGTTGGCAATTGCCTCTAAGAGCTTTCTGTTTTCTGAGCTCTCTTTTCATTCATGTAAGTATTAACTGCGTGGCATTGAAATCAACACGTTTGTTATAAATCTGCAGATTTTCAAAAGGAAAACCAAGGAGAAAATACCCGGCGAGCCCAAGATGCCATCCATGTGAGCATAGTTGTCAAACTCACTCACCTTCAAGGATTAATTTTAACTCGACAAATGAAATCCTGAAAGACAATTTTTAATTTTATTTATTTTTATAGGTCTGTCAACGTGGCTTTCTGCCAGGATCAGATGAAAATTCTAAAAGAAAAAATCCCAAATGCAAAAGACCGCTTTGCTGCGGCCAACAAAAAATGGCATGAACTCTCCATAAAGGACAAGTCCCGGTACCAATTAAAAGTAAATGAAAAGCTGAGGAAATACTCCATCGAGCTGCAGGAGTGGTTTAAGGTAGGAAAATATTTATTTATAATTTTCATTTTTTTTTTTAAAGTTTTAATTAGTATTTAAATTTTCACACTTTTGTTTTAAAGACACTGACTCCAGATGAGCAGAATGAGTATCAAAAACAGAACCCTCGTGTGAGTACCTCAAAATTCAGTCTCCTGTTTTTGTCTTTTGTTTTCTAATATAATAACATTCCTATCCATTATTGCAGAAATTAAAATATCTTGAGGACACCTTACCGAAATATTCTGACAAGGACGAACTATTTTTGAAGCAGCCATCAGTAAGTCTGAATATTTATACAGCAAACACCAAGTAATACACCCACATGTTCATGCTCGTGATATGAATGCAGTCAAGTTATTCACAGGGTTTACTTATGACTCACATTTTTACATCATGCTTGAAGAGCTTCAGGTAAATGTCGGAGAAGTCAATGTAATATAGCAATGTATATTCAGGGGGAATGAGAATAAGTGATAATGGGAATAGTATAATTTGTATGATGAAGAAAATGTTCTTTAAGCTGCACTCTTCTAATTTTTTTGTATGTCACGCAGGACTCAGAAGACGAAATCATCGAGAGCAGCAGTGATGATGAAGACGACAACATACTGGACTTTGATGAGGTTTGTGAAATATTAGACCCTTTTTTCCTTCATGTTCCTTGTTATTAAAAATGATTCAGTCCATCTAAATATGAAATGTCCCCCGTTAATCTGCAGGATGATGACGAGGAGGAGGAAGAAGATGATATAATGTTTGACATGTATTAATTGGTGATGAGATGGACAGCTGAAAAACCAAATGCAGAAAATTCAGATGCTGTTCTGAATTTGAAGAGAGGGAAAAGCCCTCGAGTGGGTGACAAAAACCTCACAACCTCACATTCTTCACCGTCTAAGGGTTTGTTCTGACTTCCACACTGAAGCAAGATGGTTTATATTTACATGGACGCTGCAGCGATGCTTGGAATTTTAATCTGTCTGTTGTGTTGTGAATCATTTTTTGCAAGTTAATGCATTCAAATGATGAAACACACAAAACACACTGGGGTGTTTTCAGATTCCTTACAGAAGGAAGTTTTGCCAGTTTGCAGCCTTCTTGGCAATGCCTCCTGGCACTTACGTGTCCAATTATTTAACTTTACTCTCAGTGAACACTGGGGAGTAAAAACGCCGTGCATATCGTCGATCCATAAATTTCATTTGGGAATGTTGCCTGTCTGTGATGGGGCTAATACAGATGTATTCACGCCGACTGCCAGTTTAAAATCACTAGTTCGCCTACCATGTGTGTCTTTGGACTGTGGGAGAAATCTGGAGGTGATTCTTGCTGACCACGGAGGAGTCGAGCCTAAACATTCATGTTGTGATGTACTGTGCCAACCACTGGGCCACTGAGCTGCCTTGTGTCTCTAAATGTATAGTCTGATTAAAAACAGCTTAAATCGTTTCACTAGCTTTTTTTTTTTTTTCTTCACCCGTGGAAGTTCTGGTACTACTTCCACCTTTTTTGCAGTTACATACTGATTTTTCCTGCAGGTTTGAATTCAGGATTCAGAGTCTCAAATCTGTGTCTCCTGTAATTTCTGGTCTGTTTTATAGTCCATTTGAATGCTGTTTATGCTGCACACAGAGGTGGTGCTGAAAGAAAGATAAATATACTGACAGCACCTATATTTAGCTATTTTTGTAATGTGATGATACGTGTGTGTGTCATGTGGTTTCATAGAGAAGCCATTGTGAATTAGGGTGGCTAGATCCCTACAAAAGAAATGTGGGACCAAAACAGACAATTATATTTGCAAAGTTAATAAAATAAGAATAAATGGAAGCTGAAGATTATTATTATTATTAGTAGTAGTAGTAGTATGTTCTTGATAGTCTGTATTTGCCTGTATCCTGTTAATCCAGCAATTATACTGTCTGGTAACAATCTTTGGATTTCAGTCGGGATGGATCCATAGGTTGGTATGAAATGGGGAAAAATAACTAGCAAAAAAAGGACAAAAGGTATTTCTTACTAAAATGAAAACAGGCTTGTCTTCATTTGACTATTAAAGAAAAAAGGGGGGGACGTCCCAGTTAAGAAGGTTCATCTTGTTATCAAACATGACTGGGAGGTTTATTATCAGTAGACACCTATTTGAGATAAAATGGTGTGATTTTCTGGATTTTTGATGGCCTTTTTTTTTTATTTTATTACGTCCCACGTGTTTTTGCGATAAATGCTGTAAGTCTGCCTAAAGATTTGTTTAATCTTGGCTGTAAAATTCAAATAACCGGGCAAAAACTAGGAGGGGTGGTGGGGAAAAAAGTGAAATAAAGGCACAGTTTAGCTCTTTGGTAAGCTGCGTGGGGGAAACACAGTCACATGCTGCCCTGGGAGGTAAACACTCGGTTGTAGTGATGTGTCGCGAACGAAATGGCTCTTAGAGCCGGATCTTTGACGTGCAGGATGCGAGCCGTGGGTTGTTGTTTTTTTTTCTTTTTCTTTCTCTGACCCTCTCTCTCACACTTTTTTCCGCTTCAGGTAAACAATCTTTTTTTTTTTTTAATTATTTGAATATATATCAGTGTTTGTGTATAAATACACAAATACACATATGCTTTCAATTGTGTAATTTAAGTGATCTATGGTAGCTCTGTCTTGGAAGTTCAGTTAACGCTAGAAATGTGTTTTGGAATTTGTACCTGCTTTGGAATTTGTATGTGCTTTGTCTCTAGAGGCCACTACATATATTTTTATATAAACATATATAAATAAACCACTTTTTTTACATTAGTAATTCATTTTGTGCATAATTTTATATTATTGTTAATAATAAATTAATTAAAGCAACAAATAAACTTGAAGAGCCGGCTCTTTTTAGTGAGTTTAGGCGAAAGAGCCGGTTCTCTAAAAAGAGTCGGAAATCCCATCACTACTCTGTTGGAGTTGGTTTAGAAGAGCAGAGGAAGCAATCGCTGGTGGGAACTCGTGTAGCGATCGATTGCTCCTGCCTGATCTCTGATGTAAAGATGGGTGCCTGCCGAAACAGGTAAATAAACACAATTAATAGGGGATTTGGGTTGAGGCTGCTTTATTATCCGTCGGTGAGCTTTATGTGAGGGTTGGGGCGTCGCTTTGTCCCTTCACTCCCACCCTTGCTGGGTGTTTGTACGGGGAGTTGAAAGGCGCACAGCCGCAGTGCAGCAGCGGTGTCGGGGTTCGGGGAAGAGCCTCGTTGTTACTCTGTTTCTCCAGCGTCGAAGAAAAAAACAGCAACATAATAAAATAACACAGCCAGTCACAACTAAATGTGTTGCATAGCTTCTAATTAATGTGACAGGATTAGCATGTTTGGCTAGTAGCTGTGCGTGTTGTGTAGTTGTGCTGTTGAGGGGGGTCGTGAGTACGATACCGCCTCTCCTTTAACCTCTTGGCATTTTCAATTCATCTCGCAAGCAGCCCATTCACAGCCAAGCTCTTTGTTTTCTTCTCCAAGGTTAGGGCTAAGCTACTTTCGTTACACGGTAATACTCGGAGCACCGCTGTAGCGTCACGTTTTCCTTCTTTCGTCTGTTGTTGTTGTTTGTTTGGTTGGTTTTTTGAGTTGTTGCAGTGCTTAAAAGGGGAAAAACACCCACCATGCCAAGTTAATGTCATTTTTTCCCCAGGTTTTAAAACGTTGGGAAGTGACTCCCTGGCAGTGTTCAACGTGCAGTTGTAAGTCCACGCATCTCACCCACAGACTGATTTGCATTCATTGTTTGCCACCGTGTTGCTTACTTATGTATCCCTCCCGCTGCAGCCCTGTTTTGGCCAATGCTTGCTGAGCTACAGCATGACCACAGCAGTGTCTGCTCATCTGGTAGTTCTGGCAAATGAAAATGGAGGAGGTTTCAGTGTCCAGCCTGGACAACAGCAAGCTGGAGGTACAATGGCGTGGAAGCCTTCTGGTAGACTTGGAAATGCACATTGTATCTGCAGACACGTGTGGCTGAATTGCTTCAGAACAAAAACACAATAAAGCAATCAGGCAACACTGTGTGTCTTTCTCTTCCCTGCCAGGCCCTAGCTCAGGACATCCTGTCTGACCTAGTGGAGGATGCTTGCCTGGGACTTTGCTTTGAGGTCCACCGGGCAGTAAAGCAGGGCTATTTTTTCCTGGATGACACGGACCAAGAAAGTATGAGGGACTTCGGTGAGCACAGACTTTTTTCTTTTTTCTTTCTTTTCTTCTTCAGCCAAGTAAAGCTGAGTTGTTTCTTCAATATCAGCCAGTGTACACCAGAGAATAATTAACGTATAAATCAAATGACTTTATTTCGACTTCCAGAAATTGTGGACCAGCCAGGACTGGATGTGTTTGGCCAAGTGTACAACCAGTGGAAAAACAAGGAGTGTGTATGTCCCAACTGTAGCCGGAGTATTGCTGCCTCACGCTTTGCTCCACACCTGGAGAAATGTCTGGGGATGGGACGTAACAGCAGCCGTATAGCCAACCGCAGGTATGGGCATTAAAAAAGCAGCCAACACAGCTGATTTGAGACTCTGTGTGAGTAGAGGCTGTGGTAATCTCAAATGTTTTCACCGTGTTGTCTTATGAATCTGAAAACCAAGGTGTTTGACTATGGCTTCCAAGGAGCCACATGTTCTTGGCATTTTTTTAAGTGGTTTTGAGAGATGGTTCATATATTTGAAACTCCAGGCTTTCTGAAGGTCTTTCAAAGGTTTTCTTTGTACATTGGCTGCTTTAACTAGACCATTTTTAAAGGAATGTTAGTTTTGTTTGCTAAGTTACTTAACACTGACCTGTGAATCATTCAAGCATATAAAAGGTGCCGAACTCAAGGACAGAACCAGTGTTGTGTCTACACATAAAAGACAACTTGGCAATGAACTAATTTTAATTTCTTACTTTTTGCAACCGGGAACCTGTAACAACAATTTGCAGTTTGTTCCAGTTTTACTTTTTGAATCTACAAAAACACCAAAGAAAACACAGTTTGACAAACCAAAATTTATTTATTTTTTTGGCACAAACACAGTGATTCCCACAGCGCTATTATCCAAAAACTTGGGATATCTTGGGGTGATGTGCATTGTGTCAAAGAAACTGGACAAGTGGAGGACAAAAGAAGTAGTGGCAGACCTTTAAAAAAAAAAAAAACAACAAACAACTATGTACACCAAAGAGATGAAACAGGACCTGTTCATCCAAGCCTCTTCAGAAATGAACTCAGTGGAAGGCTGTCTGTCAAGAAGACATTCTTAATGAAGGGAAACAGAGAGGAAAGGCTGAGACATGCAAAATTACACAAGAACTGGACTGAAAATCCACTGAAACACGTCTGATGGAGTAATATATACATAAGTGAAATTGTGAGTATGCGCTGTGGAGGTCAGGAAAGAGGCACAGCAGTGAGTTTCTACAGCCATCTGTGAAACACATTGGAGGCCCTGTCACCACTGTGGGGAAAAAAAAAAACCCCAGATATTGATTCATCATGCAATAATATCTGGAAAATAATTGGCAACAGCAAGCCAATGATCCCAATCACACTGCTAGTGCAGGTAAAGCATACCCGGATATAAAAACACACAACGGAACACCATACCGGTAAGTCATGGATTGGCCTTCCCAGAGCCAGGACCTCAATGTCGAGGCAGTGTGCGATCATCTTGAGAGAGAACAGAACAAAAAGGCATATCATAAACTTGAAACTCATTAGAATTGCCCATATTCTCTATATATACCTTATATACTCTGTTTCCATGTTTCATTAAATCACCGCACCTATCCCTCATCTTCCTAGCAAAATAAACATAAATGGAAAGGGGGGGCTCAAGACTTTTGCACAGTATTCTATATAAGCTAAATATGCTGCAGGCGTTATGCTGCCTGCAGCATAGTGAATAATGATAATCTTATGAACTCCAGAAACAAGAAAACAAAAAAAATCAGTTTCAGCCTGAAGTCGGTTTGTTTCATAATCAAACTGTTATTTGCAGTGAATAATGCTGACTCACTCCGTGTGTGTGTGTGTGTGTGTGTGTGTGTGTGTGCTTGTTCCTCTTTTACAGAATAGTCACTGGTAACAACACCAACAACAAGTCAGAGAGTGACCAAGAGGATAATGATGACGTCAATGATAACGACTGGTCTTATGGGGCAGAAAAGAAAGGTGACGCTCTCGTAGTCTTGGGCTGCGCATGCGTGAAATTTAAATGTGACTAATATTTGTTAACTCTGAGTTAAATCTCTAAAACAAATCTTTCTTTTACAGCCAAGAAAAGGAAATCTGATAAGGTACTTTTTTTTTTTTTCATCAAACCTTATACTTTAACTAAACAAACATGTTGGGCATTGCTGCTTTAATAGCCCCAGCATTTGTCTGCATGTAAAAACTCAAAAATAAAATATTTTGTCTTTCCACCTCAGAATCCAAACTCACCAAGAAGATCCA